GAGAGAGAGAGAGAGAGAGAGAGAGAGAGAGAGAGAGAGAGAGAGAGAGAGAGAGAGAGAGAGAGAGAGAGAGAGAGAGAGAGAAAAAAAAACTGTCCTCCTCCTCCGCCGCCAAATCACTAAAAGCAATGTCGAAAACCTCAGAATGATTTGGCGGGGCCTTACTAATAGTTATTACCTGCCCTAACACCTCAAGCCTCAAAATGGCATTTCCAATGGGATTGATTTGGCGGGGCCCTACTTTGTTGTGCAGATCATGCCTCTCAGCTCAGGTGGCGCGCCTAACCACTTGATGCATACCGATAAGAAACAAATAATTATCTTTACTGAGAGAATGAACACATTCTTTCACAACGTACAAATTTTCATTCCTCTCTTCTCCTTCGAAAGGAAGACACCTCGATTCCACAACATACGACTCCTATCCGATTCTGCGAATAACAGAATCAACTGATGTGAACCAGAGTGCAATACAAACACAAGCAAGTTCAGAGCGATCGTGATCACACGATAGGTAGAGAGAGAAAAAGGCGGATAGATAAATATATATATGGTCACAAGCATATCAGAGCGCGAAAGCGAAAAAAAAGGAAAAATAAAGAAAGAAAGAAGGATAACAGGAAAAAATGAATTCATGATTTAATCTTTTTTCCTCGTCACACACACAAAAAAAAAAGTATATAACTTGAATGCGAAAAAATGAATTCATGTTTTCTTGTTTTTCTGTTTTTTCGCATTTGCGCTCTGATATTCGTGTGACGAGGAAGATCAGAGCGCAAATGCGAAAAAAAAGAAAAACAGGAAAACATGAATTCAATTATTTATCTTCTTACTTATATAACTGCCCCTGTTCAGAAGCTCTTTTGCGTACAAGGCCGCCCACGTGGATGTAGGTTGAGCGGCGGCTGCTGCTGCCCCCAACCCCGTGTGGCATATCGACCCACTTGCACACAGCCAGAAGGCAAAGAGGCAAAGAAAAGAGGACGGGAACAGCCAAATCATACAGAACAGGGGGCTACAAAACAGATCCCAGATGACAAGTCCCACATGCAAGCACCGCCCCTGTCCACAGGCCAAACGACGGGACACCAACCAGGATGTCAAACCATTCTTGTCTGCAAAAACAATAAAAAATAACCCAGAAAGCTGCTATAAAAGACGCTCCCGGATGACGATTCCCACATACAAGCACCGCCCCGCGTGATGTACGCAAAGAGAGAGAGAGAGAGATACGGCGCGGAGTGTGCCGTTTGCCACTGATACGACTATTGGTAGTGTGTGATGGGTTTTCCTCGTCTGGACCTCTCTCTCTCTCTCTCTCTCTCTCT